GTTGTGTTTGATTTATTTGTTTCCAATCATTTGAGTGGAGTTCCTGTAAATAAGCTGGAAAGCGCTGTAAACAAAAAAACTTTGCAATGTGTGCAGTGCAATGCATAAAGATGCGTTGTATAGCCACTTCAGTGCCGAAGATGCACAAGTCCGTGTTGCATACCTAATGAGCGGTTGTTATCTTTTGTCAGAGTCAAGAGCAATACAAGAGATTTCCAACTGACCTCCACAACGAGAAAAAGGCAATACTCACCAGTTTACAGCCCAGTACAAATTACACGATCTGGGTGGTTGCCTCAGCTGGAAATAAGCCAGGAGAAATGTCTAATACAACAACCATCACCACCTGTACGTTTTGTTAAAACATGTAACTCTTAGCCTACGCCACAGACGAAACTAAACTCTGGTGAAAGCCGTCTGCAAAACAGCTAGGAAATCCTTGTTTTAGGCCCCAACCTGTGTACCAGGATTTGAGTACACACCATGATTGGCCTTTTAAAAAAGCCATTGTCAGTTTGCCAATCAGGTTGAAAGGGAATTCGAAGTGCACTTCCGGTAATTCGTTGAGTCCGTTAGGGGCCCCAGAACAAGGATTTCGGCACTATTTCGCAGACGTTACTTACCGAGGTTAAATTACGTCTGCGACGTAAGCTAGGTAACTCTTTGCCTCACGCCTTTTCAACTAAACATACCTTTTGACATCCTCCACGACGTAGGGACGGAGTAACGAGTGAAGTGGTTGACCTAAGACTTTTCCTCGCCACTTAGTACTCTGCACAGGATTAAATTCCTGCAAACAGGGACCCGGTGCCTACCTTGTACTCGGGCACCTGGCACCGTGCCCGACTGCCTCCACCTCAGGCGCTTCTTTTTTCGCACAGAGATGAGCGTAAAACGCGAGTGTTACGCAAATGACTGGTGACGAAGCGCAAGGGACAATGGGAAGGAGAAAGAAAGAATTCTCGCACGTTTTCTCCTTCCCGCCTTCTTTTGCGCGCAAAAATTCATCGAAAGAGTACTAGTTCTGGTTGCGAGGCAGGAATTCTTGGGTGGGTACTTGAAAAACGGCCGTTTTTTCACAGTAATGTCCAACGAGTTAATTCCGTACTTAGGCACCCTGAGTGTGAACGCAATGCCAGATTCGAGCAGTGATTTTGAACGATAGTCGTCACTATCATTGCCATATTGCCCAAGTACGCCATAATAAATTAATGACGGTGCACAATACCTCCGTCTGCTTTAACGGATTTATGCATTTATCTTAGATGAGCACGAGTGTGTTTCAAGTCCCTGTCATCATAATAGTCAGTGCAAACTAGTCGGTGACTCTTTCGAGTGTGTTTGTCCAGAGGGATGGGAAGGAAAGGACTGTAAAAGTAAGTGATGATAAAATTCCATTAAAAGTTGATGATGATTGTGATGATAATGATGATGATGATGATTATGATGATAATGATGTTGATGATGATGATTATGATTATGTTGATGATGATGACGATGTCGTTATTGTTGATGATGATGATGTTGATGATGATGATGATGATGATAATGTTATAATGTTAGTATTTGTTATCTGAGAAATTTCAATTTGATTAGTCTATAGCAGTTGTATTTCAGCCAGGCGCCTATATTTCAGCTCAATTTGGAATACTGCCACGTCGTGAAGTTAACAGGAAGCTTGTGTAATAACGACAGCGACAAGGGTAAAAACATCACCAAAAATGTGAACAATTGTATCTTTGAAACTTCATCGTGATTATTCCAACTCGCCCACTTGGCCTGCAAAAACTCCTGGAGTTGAATTCCGTATCCACGTCCAGAGACAGTGCAATTTTACATCGTAGTCATGTAGAAACGGCAAAGCAATGAACAAAAAGTGTGGTACACGGGCCGAGTTGCTAGATCTTCTTCCTTTAGTAGTATCTGCGCGCGACTTAAGTGTTGGTATTGTTGTATTATTTTTCAGAGCCGAAGAAATACTCAGTCTACCCTACAAGCTGTCTGAATTTTGATGGATATATCTCCTTTGAGAGCAACCTAACTTTGTTTTCCTGTTTTGAGAGGTGCAACAAGGATTCCAGGTAACTTTTTGATACTTTTCCGCATTAAATTTTTTTGTCATCCAAATGCCTAATAAACCAAAGAGGTCATGATAACTTAAGTATGAATTATTTTAATATTTCAACAACTTCCTTGCTTTGCTGCTAGGCTATTTTTGCTGGTTTTTCCATCAGCGAAGTAGACGTGGTCAAAACTGGCTGGAACAGTTTGTGTAGAGGCAACTTTAAAAATTCTTGGACTAAACAATGCGCGCCTTTTCTTTCCTGAAACTAATTATTACTTTATTTCTTTTTTTCTTTGACCTTAGTAGCTTGCGAACCGCAGACGTATTTCCGGTTGTCGCTTCTCTCCCTTCGAAAAATAATGCCTGCGAACCCGAGGGGCAAAATGATTTCCGTGAACGTTATTTTTCGGAGGGAGAGAAGCGACGACCAGAAATACGTCTGCGGTTCGCAGGCTATGACTTAAGCTTATCGGTTTTATGCATTAATTGTGCTTGGGTGGTTAATTTCTGTTTATCTAAATCTTGAAAATATTTGCCTTACATATTTTTATCACAGTAAGGTAAAATATGGAATATGGCAAAGGTAAGACCACATTAATGTAGACGTTTTGGAAAACGTCGTTTAAAGCTCCTGAGGAAGAGTGTTCCGGATATTTTCAGTTCGACAACCTTGTTTAAATTTTGATCTTGAGGGGTTGAAATAGGGCCCCCGTATGATATTCCATCTGGAAAAAGCATGCAAACAAACAAATAAATAAGCAAACAAACTAAACAAAACAAAACTTTTGACTTGAAACTTTCAAAGGCTTATTCCCACCCCAAAAATCATGAAAAAAAATTCAGTTTTTTGTCAAATGGTTGATATATTGAGATAGCCAACTTCTGGTTGACCATTTATTGTGTTACCCAAATATAGATAGGTTTTTTACAGGTCCTTACAGACTGTGAGCCTGAATTTCAGCTAAGAGTTTTAGATGGAAGGACAGCTCTGAAGCAGGTACGCGAGACACCCCTTCCTTGGTATCCAGCAATCTTAATAAGGTAAATTGCGTTTCTAAGGTTTTTTTTCTGAGATTTTCTACTCTTCGTTTTAGCTGCAAGTCGTTTGACTATGGCCGAGGATACAACAAGCACGGCTCATTCCAAAGTGACCTGTACACGAAGGATGTCGGCCAGTGCAAACGTTGGAGTGTCGGCAAATCTAAGTACGGGTTAAAATCGTGTCCTTTCGACTACTTTGAGAAGGAAGAAACGTCGAGGGGCAGCATGACCGTGACGGTCGCACAATTTATCATTTTACTAAGCCTGTCAGGGGTGATGTCTTTGATGTTTTAACATTCCCAAGGAAACACCATCATGTCTCTGGGATCTGCATTCTGCCCTGCCAGGAGGATTTTGGATTTTATCTTCCTGTTAACGGTATCTTAAGAAACGTTTACACACCGGGTGATTTTATCGCGTGACAAGAGCACCCTTGTGACATTGAATCTGTATATGACATCCCTGTATAAGGTGGCAAGATGTTAAAGTTCTGATTTTCCACCCATACAAACATGTATTTGTAATCCTTTGTCAGTCCCATACACCATAAAGAGATTAAAAGCTTCAACGCCTTGTGGATTTTAATAGGCTTTGTTACAAAATCCGGATTTTTTTCAGGATTTTTAGAGATTTTGGTGAATATTTTCAAGATTTTACGGTTCTTTGTCACAAGACTAAGCCTGAAACTTGAAAACGTTTCCTCACAAGTGATTCAAAGCATTAAGGTAGTACTCACCGCGCGATTTTATCATTAATTCAGCATTTCTTACATCTCTGTAAGTTCAAAATGGATGCTCTAAATTACTCACCATAATTCGCTCAGTCTTTTAAATACGGGATTTTTTTTGAAGATTTTTAGGAGTGTTTATGTAGTTTTGGAGGTGAAACCGGTGACTTTTAGAAACATTTCGGAGAAATTCCGGAAAGATTTTTGGCCATTTTAAGGGATTTTCTTAGATACGCCGCCTATTCAGCGGAAAAATCACCCCCTCGTCTTGTGAAAGAGGGCAAACAGACGATACCTTCCTGTTCATCTGTTTTGTTTTCGTTTCCTTTTATTTTTTGTTTATCTGCTAAGGTCGAGGTTTAATTAGTACCTTAGCTTATACGAGCCACAAGCTTTGCGCAAACCTGGGATATGTAGAGAATCTTAGCTTGGTATCGATCTTCTATTCTACTTTGCAATCTGACACATACCCCAATCATCAATTGACTAAGAAACAACTGTCACTAAGTGTATGTTGTTCTCAACTCCTCAGATGTCGTCTTACCATTCTCTGGCTGAACGTCCTATACATTTATCTGTAGGAGATAAATCCCTCGAGCGTGTTCACTCTATTAAATTACTTGGGGTTCACATGACTGACACCTTGAAGTGGGATGATCATGTCAAGCATCTCGCCTCATCTTGTTATGGTGTCCTAGCTGCGCTGAGAAAAATCAAGAACTTTACAAACTACCATCTTAGAAAACATTTAGTTGAATGTCTTGTTCTATCTCTCTTAGACTGATTGCCTGTTAAAAAGGTTACAGCGCATCCAGTTTGCGGCAGCCAGTTTTGTTTTTGGACGCTATGTGAACAATATTGACTCCATTCTTAAGTTAGGCTGGTTGCCTATGAAAGAACGTAGAGAATGGCACGTACGAAAGGCTGCGCACAAAGTTATATACTCTCATGATTGGCCCAGAAACCTTCGGCTTGAGCAAGTAAGGCATGCTAGAAATTTACGGTGATCAAGTACCATAAATCTAGTTATTCCCCACGCCTCGGACACTTTTCAGTATAGCGCGGCAGCCCTCTTCAATTCTATGCCATCCAGTGTTAAATGTTGTGATAATTTTAAATCCTTCAGTAAGCAAACATTACGTATTTTAAGGGGAGCGCTGCCGGAATAGGGCGGAATGATTTCTTGCCTAGTTTTAGATAATGTTTGTATATATTGTATAGTTACATTTTACTGTTTGTTACTTAGCTTTTTACAAATTCATTTATGTTAATTTCCTCATTTTACTTTTATATCAGGCGAAGAGCCATACCATGGATGTACTGATATAAAACCGTTATTACTATTATTTTTATTATTATTATTATCTTCAAACAACAACTTAATTAACTTTATCTTCAACTTGAATTTCAAAATGAAAAATATGTTTTAGATGGTTCAACAATATGACAAAAGAGCGACTGGTCAAAAGTAACTAGTCACATTCTAGTAAAAAAGAAAAAACGCTTGTCACCACTTAGGGTTCATAGAATTGAAGATCTCTTTAACACAGAAGGTCACTGGAGACAGATGTTTTCGTACCTAATTGTTGACTTCGGTTACCTCGTTTTTCATCATCTGATACGTTTCGTCTCGTCAAACTTCTTCCCTGCACACCTAAGCCGGTTTATAGTCACGTTATTTTAAGTAATTGGAAAAATGATTATCACAGCTGTACCTTCTCTGACGAAAACAAGCTCTAGTTCCGCATCCTTAATGTTGGTATAAACATCCGCTTCATCCACTGAATATGTTTATCGTCTAGAAACTTTCATCATTTGTCGAGAATTGTTAAATTACTGCGGCCATCTGGGCATTCTCGAACGATGACTTTGCTCGTCTTTTTTGAAAACATGAGTTATTCAGTCTTAGAATGTGTATGCAAAATTTCCTGTCATTTAGAAATAACACCACTATGAAAACGCTCTGCTGATACTACAAACAAAACATTTTAACCTTCTAATTGATAATTTTGTACCGAAATTATGTCACTCAGTTTTTCCTTGTCACTGATTTGTAAAATCTTGTGCTTTAAACTCTCCCTTTAATTCAGTACAGGATGTTGTTGTATCACTCAGTGTACTAAGCTAAGAACTGAAGACGGGGACTGTCTCGCTTGCGCCAGAACCATAGCTGCCGCTCGCGCCAACATCTGCGACTTCGTCAAATCAGTCGATTCTCTCGCCACAGCGCTGTCCACGATTCGATCTTTAGCCGTAGCTACCTGCTTGTCTATGCTCCCTAGACTGTTAATCACATGGACCAAAGGCTGTCTCAGTACACCTAAAGCAGTACGTTGGCAATCTACGGCTTCAAGTGCGCCGTCATCAATAACGGCCATCGCTTGTTGAGCGCCACCTGTAGAAGTCAAATCAGAGTCTTCAATGGTGACGTCCCTCGCTGCCCCAAAGCCGATTTCAGTTCCCAGATTACCGCCAATAGTGATTTCGCCTTTTACTTTATGCGTAGAGGCGAATATCTGCAGCTTTCCGTCTTCGCCAACAAATGCTTGCGTATTATCATCAGTTTGAGCAGTGATGTATGTTGCGACGTTTTCAAGGTGATCACCTTGTTTAGTTTGGAGGGTAATCGATGTCGCTTCACCATGCTTGTTGGAGTAATGGAGCGATAAGTTGGTACTAGTTGTCACAACCCAATCCGGCGACACAGCGTTCTCCGCAACGTACTTCTTTCCACCCATTTCCACCGAATCAGCGCGTATGTTTCCTAGAGTTATCACCACTGTCTCATCGGAACTCTCGCCGATTTGGAATAACTGGCTTCCGAAGGAACCGTTCATGAGCGTCTTACCACCTAAAGACGTGGTTTCCGCGATACGGTTAAGCTCACTACAAAGAGCAGTAAACTCTTCTTGAATTGCAGTTCGAACAGAATGAGCGTTAGCGCGTATGTTTCCTAGAGTTATCACCACTGTCTCATCGGAACTCTCGCCGATTTGGAATAACTGGCTTCCGAAGGAACCGTTCAGGAGCGTCTTACCACCGAAAGACGTGGTTTCCGCGATACGGTTAAGCTCACTACAAAGAGCAGTAAACTCTTCTTGAATTGCAGTTCGAACAGAATGAGCGTTGTTCATGTTAGATGCTTGCAGCGCCAGATCACGCATACGTTGAAAAATGTTTGTAGCCTCGTCCACTGCATCAGCAGCTACCCGAACTACAGAAATCAGGTCGCTAACATTTCTCGACGGTTCGTCTAAACTGTGTGAGAAACAAGTGGCCAGCCGAGGTTCACTTTGAATGTGAACGGGCATTTTAACTAAAATTATTTCACTCTGATATCTACAGGCAACTCAAAATAAGTCCCTCGATTTAAACACTGAAATTTCTTACCTGCGCATCGATAGTTATTTGATACTCCACTCGGGCGTGTCTAGCTAATGTTGACATAGACGAATCAGATGTGACGTATGACGCAATCCTCGACCAATCAAAGCGGGCGAATTTTAAAATCACCTGAGTAACTTATGCTAAATATGATTATCGTTGTAATTAAAACTGTAAAGTAAAAGAAGCATTGTTTATTCAAAATCTTAATACAGCTTTTGATGTCAACACTAGCAGTGATTCTCTATTTTAAAATAGGTGTTGCCATATATATATCTAGCCGAATTTTTGAAATTGTGCCTCGAAAAGGCCCAGAATATTCGCACGGGAACTGGTGACTGCGGTGAGAATTTTCATGGTGGGATTGCCGTCTTGGTTTGTCCCATCGTCAAGCTCAATCCCTGAGCTAACTTGCATGGGGTGGGAAGGGGCCTTCATGTCAATCCCTGCGGGGGAGAGGGTGTTGCAAAAGCGTGGTATGGTCAGTTAGTGTCAGTTAACTGATCATATGTGTCTGCTTTAAGTTTGTCATGGCACATTCTTTAAATGTTTCAGGCCGATTGGCCAATAAAAGGATTCCCCTCACCCAAGTACTCGGCTGCGAGGCCGTGTCAGGTCAGGGGGGTGACGTAGCCTTAAATACTGGTTAGGGCTACCTTAAGTCCCGAGCTTCCACTGTCATGTAGAGCCTCGATGTATTTTTGATGGACTTGAATATTTCTTTGCTAATCAGGAACCAAGAAGAGAGTCACCTTAGAAGGCTTATGAGTAAGAGCTGAGTCCTTTACAATATTTATTTTATTTAAGTCAAGTTAGGCTGTGTGGCCTTGAGTTGCCAGCTGGTGCGTTTTTCATAAATTCGTTAAGGATATGAGCGCTATATTAGTAAAGTTATTCAGTTATTGTTATTATTCGGCTAGTTATACACTGTACAGATTTTTAATTCCTTAGTAGGGAGCTTAAGAAACCACTACGGCAACGGTAGCGAAAACGTCACTTTAAAAGTGAACCCGCGCTGCTTCAAACTTTATCAGGCTTATTCCATCTCGTTCAATTCACGAAATGTTGGCGAATTTGCCTGGAGTTGAATTCTAAAGGACTATATAGAAGTTTAGGAAAAGAACTGCCCTTTCCTTCACAAAGTCGGATTACTCATCTCTTTCGTTCAAAGATTAATGTTGCTTAAATCTACGGGGCTCAGAGGGCTAAGTGAGCTACGAGGGACTCTCGGCTCAGTCACGCTATGAGCATTGGAAATCTCGCCCGTATTCCACGAGAAAAATTGCTTGAAACCCTGACGAAACTCGTCACTTACAAGAGAGTAAATGAAAAAGTTTATCGATGAATTTACTATGACGAAAAAAACGTAAATATTCAAATAAACCCAGACATATTTTTGTTGGGCAACTTCTTTCCAGTACAAAACAACGAGGCGAAAAACGTTCAAGGAAAGCATGGTGACAGCAAAAGCTATAACGACTGGAAAAAGTCCCTTTTTTGCTTTGGTGTTTTGTCTATCTCTTAGCCTTTTCCGATGTCTTTGTTCGTCGATCTTGCCGTAATCCTCTCTTATGGTTCTGTTGAACTTGCTGCTGGCACGAAGTTTCCGCGAAATGCTATGAAAGGTACCAACGACAATTGTTTTACTTGGTGGCAGGACATAGCAGAAAACCGTCAAACTGATGAAGTAGACTTGTCGCAGCTCATCTCCATCTTCTTCATTCGGCCATCTTTGAGTACAGTCAGTTATGTTGAAATCTGGCCTGTAATCGAAGAAATCCATGACCACGTATAATATTGTGGCACCGAAATGATCAGAAACGACAGAATCCAAACACAGACGACCATCAAACGCGATGACTTGAACACGGATGAACCGCGCTTCGGAAGGACTCCTCGGACTATGGCTCTGTGACCATGGTGACGATCAACAGCGATAAGAGTGATCGACCAAAGCGACACGCCAAAAAACAAATCCGACAAGGGAAAGACGCACCGACAGTGAAATTCCCCCAGTTGCCAATGATACGGGTCTTGCTCTTTCACGATTGCAAACGGAAAAGAAATAAGCAGGATGCTCAAATCTGCTATGGCGAGATTTCTTACAATCAGTTGATAATAGTGTGCATCTGCGGCTGAAAGTTTATTACAAGGCATACTATCACATTGCCGGCTACACCGACAAAGGCGATAAGAACGTAGAGGGCCAGACGTAGGATCTGTGCCCATTGCGCCTCTTTGTAATAAGATGACTGGAAATCGCTGCTGTCTCTCGCGACTGTTTGATTATCACTAAAATTCATCTCTTGCGTTAGGATCGCCTTTTCTCCAAGGGAATTATAAACACTTCTACACTTGGTCGTGCTGCTGTTCTTTTCCTTTTTCTGAAGTCTCGTGCAATCCAACGCAGTTGTTACAGAAACCTTTACCAGCGGTTTAAGGTGTGTGTAAAATCCTTCTTTAGCTCAGTTCAGTCCTCAGTTCAGTTTCGTTCAACAATCCGTTGAATACCAAAACTTGGTTTCCTGGTAGCGTGGCCGTCAATCTTTCCTGTCCTGAACACAGTGAAAACCTCGCGATAGCATTTGATAGTAATTGTTCAGTACGATAGTAATTGTTCAGGTGCCGAAGATCGCGTTTGGACTTTAATTAAGGCCTCACGCTGATAACGAAATTACCAAGCATGTAGTTTATTTTGTTTTTTAGTGTCAGAACTGTAAATTTTAATTTTCTTTTTTAAAACTTCGCCGTTTTTCCAGAAACGCGTTTCTTCAAGACCGTCTCTTTCATGATACAGAAAACTCTAAAGTTACAAGTCGGCATACCTTTAAATTCGGCGCGGGAAAAGAGTTATAGGAGCGAAGGGTAAAGGCTTTAGAACTAAAAAAGGAAAGAAAATGACTGTGGATTGCTGTAGCAACGAATATAGAAACATATGAAATACATGTATACCTGTAAAATTGATCAGCCGTATATTCCCTCCCTTCTTGGGAAAACAAAAGGAAAAGTCTTAAAATTTATATTTAAGTGCTTGAAGATTTCAAGAATATGTTTTATGCAACTCATTCATTCATTCTAATTACACAAGAGACTCTCAAAACAAATTTTTTTGTGCTCAGTCCCCGTGCTGAAGCTGCTAAGCGGGTGTTTAGCTATAGGGGAATGTCATGTAGAATGGCCGTGAAAGCAAACTTAAAGATGAGTCAAATCTCAACTCCTTCAAATTCACTCTGATTTTGTCTAAAGAAGTTGTGGTAGTTCCCATTTAAAAAAAAATGCGACAGTCTCAGTCCAAATTGTTGGAAACCTGATCCCAAGGTTTTTTTTCGGAGCTGGAAGATGTACTTTTTGCCCCTCTAATAAAAGTAACAAATTGTGCCACGGTATAATTTGAAAACACCAACGGAAATCATTTAATTAGAAAGACAACTTTCGCATTTTCCGCACCTTACCATGCAAATGTGGTAGTGGCAGGGTTTGTGTTTTAAACACGGTAATCAACGGGTTGAGCAGAAATGGTTTACCACAATTAGCTGGTCATTTTAAAAGGACGTTTCTATACTTGTCACGGCCTTGCTGCGAAAGATTTCCGTGGCTAACTCAGAAAATTCCTCCGGCTAATACCATTACGCTGCAATACTTGTTCAGCCATTTCCCTTACAACCGTCTACACAACCCATGGGCTATCTAGCCCACGGTACAGAATTAAAGGGAAGCACGAGAAGGGAAAAAACAGTGTTTGTTTTAAATTGTCCCAACTATTTTTGTCTGGGATTGTAGTCACACAATTAAACGGAACAGAAAAATATCAAACTACTTCTACGGTCTAGTAAATGCGGTCGTTGTTGACGTGAAAGCTGCTCGCCGTTTTAGGTTGTTGTACTCTAGGAACGATTATTGCCTTTTGTTTAAGCTAATTGCTTGTCTCTGATATTTATTTTCATGCAAAAACTTCATATTGGTCTTTGCTTTAATTTGTTACCCGTGATGTTGGAGCGATTTTATTTAACCCGTGAAGTGTAGATTACTGCACAGTATTACACTCCTATTTTACTGTTTTCTTTTGTTTACAGGCATCTGTTTGGCACTTATCGTTAGATATATAGTGTTTCATGGGTTAAGCAAAAATCACTCTATGCATAATAACCTCTGCACGTAAGCGCCAAATAAATAGCCCACAAGGTCACACTAGAAATGCTTCAGTTTCAGTTGGGTTAAAAAAGGACTCAACATGCGTAGAAAGCCATCAAAATAATCCTTTTTTAAACAAAATGAAAAGCAGTAATGACCTGATTTTGGCCACCTTGGGGAGGCGATACACAAAAGGAGGCTTGCCATTAACAATGTAGTGGTTTACTGATAAAAACAATAAAAAGCAGGTCCCCTAAGAAATGGTCTTCAAGCTGAATAGCCTGAAGTGAGTGGTCGTACTGGACTGAGGCTTAAAATTGCTTAAGAGCTACTACAAGAGGTCAACAAGCTGTATTCATCTTGACAAAAAAAGTAACACCTTTTTTGGAAACAACTAATAAGTTGTCTAATGTGAGAATATTCTAGTGCTTTTCTCTGTTCTAAGTTTTTCAACTGTAAACAGGTACGTAAACATTTATTCCTTTGTTCGTAACGAACCATCCATCATTACTATAAAATTAAAATTATGTTACGGTAACCTATTTTCGTGGCGCACTTCCAAAATCGAAAAACAAGTTTCAGAAAACCTTAGAATGAATTGCTCTTGGAAATTTGTTGCGACGCTTTTTATTTGTTGTTTAGGTTGTAAGGAGACGTCTACTCTTGACTGGACTTTTCTGGTTTTCAGTCAGTCAATGTCTATTTATTGCTTCCCCGAATAGCCATGAAGGCTGTCGCTTTCTTATGACGGACAATAACTGTTTTGTGTTCATAAGCCTCTAATTGGTTTTCGGCTTTAGCTATATGTGTATTCACGATTACTGAATAAGGCTGAGTATAATATGAGGAATTATGCAGATTGAGAAGGATGGATAGCAGCCTCCTTTCGTAGAATTCCCAGTCCATTGAGGTCAACAAAAAATTTCCCGTCCAGGTAGGGGTTAGTGTTTTGTCTTTTTTAGCCGACACTTGTAAATGAAGCATACACGAAGTAAAAACAACAAAACGGTCAAAGACTACTGGAAACAAGTTGAAAAATAAGAAAGATGGCGGCCGAGTCTCGGAGAAATTTTTCTTTGCTTTCCAAGGCTTTTTCTGGAAAGTTTTTTCGCGATTTCTACCCCTCAAGGGCTCAGCTTAAATTCAATGGAAAACAGAAACCCAAGTTTTTATCACATTCCTTGGTTTGAAAGACTGTGGTTGTACCGTTCACAATTTCTGCAAACTTTGGTTTTAATCCTTCCGTGAAAGTCCACGCACCTGAAAATCCATACAAAAATGGCGAGTTTTCGGGCAAGCAACGGTAATCTTTCATAAGATCCGACAACAGATTCTGTGTTACTCTAAAAAAATGTAAAGAATTTTAGAAATCTGAATCTCTAAGGTTTCTCAAGCTTAAAAAGGAATCTAAAAGAGGGTCTCATTAGAAGTTACTTGTAGTAAGCTTCTCGTTTTTAGTACAAGCAACAGGGCCACTTTTTTTCTGGCAAATTAAAACAAACAGGAGTTACGCGCCAAATTTTATCTCGTCAAGACCGCGGTAGTATCTTTGGTTTTTCCTTTTGCCGCAAAAAATTGGCTAAAACTTGTTGATGTAAAGTTTGTTCTTGCAGATTTTCCATTCCTCAATGTATTGATTGATGCTCATTATGGACAAATGGCTTAGTGTTTTGATTTCTTCGTTCCTGTTGCAGCTAAAAGGTAACTCTGCCGAAAATTAAGTATAACGAACTATTGCCAAGTTATCTGCCGCTAGAAAGTCAATCACACAGGGGGCGTGGTTTGAGTCTTATCTGCGGGATCGAACCCGATTTGTCAGCACTGACGGTGCTTCGTCTCATGAATCGGTGTTGGGGCCTCTGTCACTCCTGTTTCTGCTATACATTTCGCCTTTGGGTGATATCATCCGCAAAAATGGCCTCTCCTTCCATTTATATGCTGAAGATACATAGCTTTATTCAACATTCGCCTATTATGACACCCAAGAACTTGCTGAGACTAATTAAAGAATGGATTAAGAATTGCATCTCGCATTTCTAGAATTGGATGGCTCTCAACAAACTGAAGCTCAACAAAGGAAAACTAAACTACTTCTTTTGCATTTAACTTTTCGAAAGTGTCTTACACTGGACTTTCTCACTCTGAGAAATGACACCGTATATACGTCCGATCATGCGCGCAACATTGGGTTGGTGTTTGACAGTATACATTGACGTTAGAAAAGCATGTGTTAATGCTTTTTCCATCTCAAAAATATTGTTAAAATTAGGAAGTATTTGCCATATGAAACATCCAGAACTTTGCTTCTCTCTTTTGTTTGGTTAGAAACTGACAATTGTAATGCAAATACTTTATGGCCTCCCTAGATACCGAATAGAATAGCTACAATTGAATATTGCCTATAGACAAATTGGTAGTGGACATACATTTTTCCAATCGTATGCAGAGTTATCTAAAAATATTAAGCTTTAATTAAATCCGAGGTGTAAAACGGTGTTTCTAACAATTCAAACTTAAAACGCGATTAAAACAAAAAGTCTGGCATAATTGTTTCTTCATAGTTATTGTGACGATTTAATATCTTAAATGATCTCGCTAATAGCAGCAGGAGAGTATACTGCTATCCTTTGTAGCTCTCTTGTGTTGACTTTACTGGGGCATTTGTTGAGGTTTCTCTGGCTCTTTTTTGATGGACTAACTATTGATCTGCACGGTTTTAAACCCGGGTTGAATGGGGAGGGGGGGACTCCCTATAATTGCCTAGAAGGGGAGGCTCCGCCAAAAAGGGATACCTTTTTCAGGCTTCGGTTAAATGAAAGGGTTGGGATATCATTAGTTGAAGTATATATAAAAAGAATAAGGAAACATGTTGTAAAGGGACCTTAAAGATCTGACAGATGCACTTTATGGCTATTAAACAGGCCACTTACAACAGTTAAACGAGACCCAAATTTCCAAACAAGGTATGTAGAAGGTATACGTATGGGGAACCTTTTCTGTCAAAAATGTTATATGAAAGGGTGTTGGTTTGGACCCCGGGGTGGAGCCTCCCCGTATAAAATTTTGTCCAGTTGCTCCCCCCCCCGCCTATTCCCCCAGGGACATCAAAATGGCTTCACAATGAAAGATTGCATTTTTTATTTTCCAGATTGACTTTCGACGTCAAAAAATAACTTAGAATATCCTTGTCAACTGCCTTTAGCTCCGTTCCGTTATCCTATTTGACTCCACTTTAAAGTATCACGACAAAGTTCTAACGTCTTGTTAATCAGGCCCAGTTGTTTAAATCTTGGATAGTACTTGCCACCATGCAGTAATAATAATGGTCTTAATGACTTTGCATGTAACATGTATATAGATGATGCATATTCTTCGTGGTGTACAACTAACGTCTGTAAATTACGAATTGATCGACTTGACTGTGGGGAATCTTTTTAACAGTAGATGCATATGACCGAGTTTTATAAAATTAACCTGAGGCTGAAAAGTCACCAGCAGGTACAATACATTTATGGAGTTCTCCTTAGAATTATGTATCTTCAAGCTGTAACCATCTTAGCTTGGTTCGATTAACCTTAGGCGCCCTTTCTAGACAGAACAGTCATATGTATACTGAGCTATTCTACTTACAAAGGTAAGTCTTTCAAGAAACATTTCGAGGTCAGTACTTTCTTAAGTGGCAAGTGATTTGATGTAGTCTGATTGTAAATGCCTAAGAACCGAAAACAAAAGTAAGTCCTTTAAAAATAGAATGAAAAGACTGGAATGGTTTGAATTGCGCTTCTTTCACATAAGAGGGATATTAGTGTATATGACCTTGGTTTCACTAACCAGAGAAAACCGCCATCAGACATTCTAAAAGTTCTGATATTATTTTAAAGGAGCCAAAAACGTTTCTTTCAATAGTAAACGAAATTGAATGAAGTGAAAGATGGTAAACGTTTATCTAGGATGGAAGAAAAAAAGAGTAAGCGCTAGGTTTCCAGTGGTGGCTTATCGACGTATTCCTAGAATTAGAAATTGTTATTTTGTTCTTTAAATATCGCCAAGAGTGGATCAAGATTTTAAACCTACATTTTCTTATACCTGAAACATGTTTCCATCCAGTTGAATTTATGTCGACGTCACAAAACATAAAAACGATTCAAATGCAGTAAGTCATTTGACATTTGCTTTGTCTTTTTTTGTTTGTCTTAAATTGTTAGTTTTTTGTTTGTTTTGTTTTGTTTTTGTTTTTATCAAGGGCGCTCCTGAGTATTGTTGGTTTTCACACGATGTCACTACTGATATAAAATTCAGACTAAAAAACTATCGATCCTACCGAGATTTTACTTCACGATGCATTAGAGCAGCTGAAAACTAATTTCATACAAATTTTCGCTGCAAAAGGGTTCTGGTTTTGTGATTGAGTACGCTTGAATTTCTAAGATTTTGCGTGACGCGGCATTTACATAATGGCCAAGAGAGCTATCATGTAGGTTAAAAAAAATGACTTATTGCAGGAAATTTTGCCATCTAAACAGTTCATGTATTAGAAAAAGCATTACTTTAATGTTTATGAGTTTCTCGAAGAATAAATTCACTCTTTTGTAGCAAAACTCGGTAACAGATGTTTCTGTTGGTTTCCGTCCGCCATGTTGGAGCACCCAGGTGAGCACCAGCATGGCGTCTCCATACAAATCTCTGTAAGTTTGGGTAAAACATTTCTTCGGATATCTCGTATACGAAATATTCCTCTGACCTGATTCTTCGCAAGGGGCTTTGTACATGTACCTTCTTTCATTTTCAAGATTCTGGACTTTATCTATTGAACGATTATGATTTTTATTTTGATCTAATTTGAATGGGGTGACACTGAAAACCAGCAATAGGGAGTCGCATATATAGGCTGCTATTACAAAAGTGATACGCACATAAAATGCGTAAGGCCGGTCATCTTGTAACGGGTACCGGTTTCTTTTGATGATGTTGTTGGCCAGTATGTTGCTTACGGCAGTGTTATGTCAATACTAGAGGGATGGTACCTGGTTGTTCAGCCGGCGTGCCGCCTGGCTCTGAAATGAGCCCTGCACGGGGGATGGCCATAACTTGATCGCAGGCTATAAAGGTCTAATTGCATTTTTTGCAGATTTTCTACCCATTTTCTTGGCAATGGCCAAGTGGCTGTGTGCTCTACAGTTTACATCTCTTTTGATGCTAAAAGGTAGCCCAAAACCTTGTTTAGGTTAACCTCAGTAAAGTCATAGAACTGTAAAAAATAGCGGTTATTGGTAATATAAACATAAGCCTTGCAGTAAAGTTTTATTCATTAAATTGCTAATCCTGCCGGTCTCTCCAAGACCCGGCTTCACTGTGCCGCTGCTTGTCCAAGTTGTCCTTGCAAGATTTTTTAGGGAGAAACGAACAGAGACCAGAGTACCGGGAGAAAAACCTTTCGCTGGGAGCAAGGGAGAAAACCAGTTGATAACCAGCAACAAACTCAACCCACTTATGGCGTCGAACCCAGGCCACATGGGTGGCAGGCGAGTGCTCTCACCACTGCGCCACCCTTGGTCCCCAGCTCCGGTGGTTGGTAGAATATTAAGCAATTTTGGAGTGAAAAAAAGGAGCAAATGAACAATTTTGCAAAAAAAAAAAAAGCCTGCCCTGAGCCTGCGACAAGTCATACGCAGAAGATTTCTTTAGTACTGCCGCGAAAGCTGAGACGAGGATGAAATTCATGTACAAATTCGTATTCCTAAGCTAAGGTGTTTTGCTGTTATATAAGACAGGGTCGTTGGTAGATAAGATTAAAAAAATAATAATTTTTATTAAGTTGACATTTTACTGTTTATAGTTTTTAGTTCACCACCATGTCACTTAGTATCAAAAGGAAGTCATGGAGTTATCAGTTCCGATTCCGCCAAAAACCATCTATCTTGCCGTTGGTTGATCACGGTACCAGCTAACCACAAAGTACGTTTGAACTTTACACAATTCCTGTTGGATTCATTCAGGAATGACACTCATATTCAGATTTTCAGTGGCAAGGATGAGAGTAATCCCTTGTTAGGAACCTTCTCTGGAAGTAGTGGTCATTTCACTGTAGAGGCAAATGGAAACATCATGATGATTAAATTAACCAAGGGACGTAACAATTCCCTTTGTGTCTTTAAGGGTGTTTTCTCATCGATTAAATCAAAAGGTGAGCCATAACGTAGGCAACATCACACTAGTGGTGAAATAACAAGGAAACTCTCACCAGTGATGATATCACTCTAGATCTTATACTCTATCTGCGTGACTGAATCTCGCTTCAACGGAAGAGAACGTCATTGTAGTCAAGGTCGTGGCCATTGATGCAACTGCTATATTTCTAACAATGAAAAAAGATAATCATTTCCCCTTTTTAAAGAAAAAGAACTGCCATATCAAGGTAGAAAAAGAAACTTTCGAGTACACCCGCCAACAGGTTTGCATTGTTTTCGTAAAGAACACCATACCCTCTACATGGTAAATTAAAATACGAGGGACCATTTTTACTTTTAGCTTGTTGTCTATACTTATAGAGCGTTTTCACATGACGTCACGGCGGCCATATTGGTGTTCCAAAACAATGAAACGGCCGCCATGTTGGTGTACTAAGACAATCCTGTGGGAGTTGCATTCTTTTCTTATGCAAACGCTTTCGTTTGTTCCAATAAATTTGCGTAGAGGCTGTCCTCGTGAGTGAAAACGCTCTATACTCACACCGACAGATTCAAATCCAAGTAAATTATTCGACCATCTAACTGTAGCGTGTGGTCTGAGCCAAGATTTTCTGCATCCAGGTTTTTGGGCGTGATGTGACACCACATTTCATTATTTCTTTTACAATACAAACCGAATCTCAAGGAATAAAACTATATAAAAACATTCATAAGCAAGCTAAACTTTTTCAGGAAGTAATGAAGCAGTGCGTGTATACAATAGCCATATACAGATTGAAAACAGTGCAAACATATTCAAAACTAAGGTCAACGTGGTGTTCATCAATATGATCTTTTCATTTTTCAAGTTTGTACTAACAATACCACATTACTTCAGTTCCTTCCTTATGTCAGTTGTATAGCAACCTTTATAAACCTCTTTGCCAGCTTTCATGTTACGATTCAGTCCTTCTTTGCTCCATTCCTATTTCACCATTGCTTTATGCGTTGTCATTTACTTGTAGTAGTAAAAGATTACCTTCCACTCGTTCGCACGTTAGTGTACTGAGCATTGCATTTGAACTACTGAACTTACAAACTATAATTTTAAATTGACATCTCTGTTGTATCCTGGCGCGCTTAATCCTCGATTCACTGTTTTTCCTCTGTCTCTAAAGGAAAGTTAAAAATATCGATTATAAGCCCAGAGGTGAAAACAGTACCAAATTTCTTTGTATGGTGCACAGCTGACGGCAAAAAACCCATTCACATGACCTTGGCACACTCCTCGACACCACTGGCCAGCGGCGTAGGACTCGTATACGCTAAAATAACACAGAGTGGAAATTACACCTGCACAGCTAGAAACGAAATTGGCATGGTTTCAAGGGATTTCGCAGTTGTTGTTATTGGTAAGAAACACTAAAGAAACAATATTTCATCTCATGACACAATTCATTTGAGGATGTAGAATGCTTGTATAAGGGAAAGAGCGAAATCGATTAACAGGTACGGCAAACTGTATACAAGAATAAGGGGTTTTTAATCCTAAAATTCCAATCGAGAGAGAGATACACAAGGCGTGAAGACATATTAAAGCATTCTCAGCACACCATAACCCTCCCTGGTTGAAACAAAACCCGCAACTTCGTTCTCGTGGTTCATTCCTTCTAGTCCCTGGACGATTAGGAAAGAACGAGGGTAATGAGGTTGCAAATTCAACTTGCAAGAGTGACTACGAGAATAGATGACGGATCCACTGCGCACGGTCAAACGCTTAAGGTGTTATTTATTTATTTACTTACTTTTTTGTAATTGGTGGGATACCTTTTACCAGTAGTGTAAACATGAGCAGACGTTTTCTCAAAGTAGTGAATTTTTGTGGTCGAAAAACCTTCTCGCTAAAAGACAATCATGCTGGAAAAATTGACCTTGACAATGACACTAACTTCAGTTTTCAAACATTCACATTTGAGAAAGTTCAGTTTACTAACATGGTATTGGTAATATTTTAAACTTAGCCTTAGCTTGGAAGTCATTAGACGGCGGAGATCACAGATGACCTTGCTTAAACTGTGAAAAAGGACAACAACTGACCAAGAGAACATATTTAACCTCAGCGTAGCCGTAAGGTCCTTAAAGCCTTGAAGAAATAGAGGGTTGTAGAACAAGAGTTTTTTACTCCAAGATTTGTTTTTGCTATCTAATTTACAGATTGTGGGAAAATATGTTATGAAGATAGCGATTTCACGTTTTTGGGGAAACCCTCGAATACATATTACTGTAGAAGAATGGGTTTGACAGCTCAAAGTTTGAAATGCCTTCCGACAACAACTACAATTTTGTAAGTTTTGTAAACACACTTATACTGATTTGAATGCTCAAAAAAAGTATCTAAGCGAGCGAGAAACAAACGGCTGTGCAAGGGCTGGGGAAAGGGGGTGGGGAAGTTTGTTATTATTTCTGAGCAGTCGTTCTTAGAGTC